AACAGTCTGTTCGAAGCAACTCTGCCTCTGTATCTATTATTGTTCAAAAGTTTATAATGGACTCTATTATCCATGAATGAGTGAGATCATGTGGTATTTTTCCTTCATTGACTGGCTTATTTCACTTAGCATAATGCTCTTCAGTTCCATCCATACTGTTGCAAAAGGTAAGAGTTCCTTCTTTTTTATAGCAGCATAGTATTCCATCGTGCAGATGTACCAGAGGTTTCTAATCCATTCATCTACTGATGGGCACTTAGGCTGTTTCCAGATCTTAGCTATGGTGAATTATGCTGCTATGAACATATGGGTTCATATATCCTTTCCAGTTGGTGTTTCTGGTTTCTTGGGATATATTCCTAGAAGTGGGATCACAGGGTCAAACGGGAGCTGCATTTCCAGTTTTTTGAGAAAACTCCATACTGTCTTCCATAGTGGCTGCACCAGTCTGCATTCCCACCAGAAGTGCACAAGTGTTCCTTTTTCTCCACATCCACTCCAGCACTTGTCATTTGTTGATTTGCTGATGATAGCCATTCTGACAGGTGTGAGATGGTACATCATTGTTGTTTTGATTTGCATCTCTCGGATGATTAGCGATTTTGAGCATGTTTTCATATGTCTCTTGGCTTTCTAAATGTCCTCTTTTAAAAGGTGTCTATTTAGGTCCTTTGCCCAATTTTGGATTGGATTGTTAATCTTCCTTTTGTTAAGTTGTATGAGTTCCCTATAAATGTTGGAGAATAGGTGCTTATCAGATATAATGTTGGCAAATATATTCTCCCATGTAGTGGGCTTTCTTGTTGTTTTGTTGATGGTTTCTTTAGCTGTGCAGAAAATTTTTATTTTGATGTAGTCCCATTTGTTTATTTTCTCTTCAGTTTCCAATGCTCTAGGATCAGTATCGGTGAAGAAATTGCTTGGGAATATGTCTGAGATTTTGTTGCCTTTGGATTCTTCTAGTATTTTTAAGGTTTCCCATTGTATATTTAAGTCCTATATCTATTTTGAGTTTTTTTGTGTGCATGGTGTAAGTTGGTGGTCTAGTTTCATTTTCTTGCATGTATCTGTCCAATTTTCCCAACACCATTTATTGAAGAGACTATCTTGACTCCATTGTATGTTCTTGCCTCCTTTGTCAAATATTAATTGAGTGTATTGGTTGGGGATGATTTCTGGGCTCTCTATTCTATTCCATTGATCTATATGTCTGTTCTTGTGCCAGTACCAGGCAGTTTTGAGAACAGTGGCTTTGTAATACAGCTTGATATCTGGCATTGAGATCCCACCTACTTTGTTCTTTCTCAGGATCGCTGCAGCTATTCGGGGTCGTTTTTTCTTCCAGATGAATTTTTGAAGAGTTTGTTCTAGGTCTGTGAAATATACCCTTGGTATTTTAATGAGAAGTGCGTTGAATTTATAGATTGCTTTGGCAGTATAGACAATTTAATGATGTTGATTCTACCAATCATTTCAGCAGTGCTTGGTGGTGTGGGACTGAGGAGCAGAAGAATTCCTGCTGGATGGTGACGGCTCCCCTGGGAGCATGTAGGAGAGCGCCTGGTTCCAGGCCGATGGGCGAGAGCGCCCCCTCTCCCGAGCCCAAGCCCACCTCAGGGACCAGAGACACTGGCGGGACCAACGTGGGCTCGGGCTCGGGTTGGGGCTCCAGCACTGAGTTGACTCTATGCAGGGCACAGCCTTCAGCCACGACCAGCACTGAGGTGAGCGCATCTGCGACCGAGGGAACCAGGGGGCCTTGCAGACTGGGCGCCATCCCATCTTCAGGGCCCGCGGGCTTCTCAATACCGCAGCGCTTGGCGGGCCGGGGTCCTCCGGAGGCCTTTTCACACTGGGGCGCGGCATGGAGGCTGGGGCTGAGGAGGCGGCTACCTAACATCCCAGTGGCGCTGCGGGCGGTGCTTCTGGAGAATAGCAGAGGGCGAGAGTCACTCACTGCCTGCAACTGGGGGGGTGGGGGTGGGGGGGCTTGGTGAAGCGTCTGGCGCCCAAACCTGTCGGGTGCAGGGGGCAAGTCCACTTGATCAGCAGCCTAGCCAGGTTCTAGCAGACTTCCAAATAGCAACATTTTTTTCCACAAAGGAGAATATTGTGTCACACTGATCCAAAGGCAGACATTCCAAAGCATCTGCCAACAAGACAGCAGGTGTCGCTGCGGTGCAAATCCCTTCAGTGACTCCTCCAATAGCAAGATAAATAATAGCTAAAACATTTTCACACGACAAGTGATTGATCATTTCTTCTTGCAGGACACCTCTGAAAGCTTGGTCAAGGGTACATTTCTTTTCGTCTTCAGTTCCAGGTAACTGGCTGAAGGTATTCAACAATGGCTTGATATTTTTGTTGTTCAGGGCTTCTCTGGTAGACTTGGTAAACCGCGTCCACGCTTCGGCTACACTGAAGCGTGGCCGTGTAGGAGACATCTTCGCAGCGGCGCGTGTTGTGAGGGCTGAAGCCCAGCAGGTGCAGGGGTTCCCAAACGTGCGGACGGAGTCAGTGAAGACGAAATGACACGGAGACAGTGCGGTCAGTTGATCAGTAGCCTAGCCAGGTTCTTGCCAGGTTCTCCAGCGGCAGCGCCTATGTCCCGGGACCGGGTCTCGGCGAGATCTCTGCCCCGAAATCTCCCTTGGAGAACGAGGACGACCACCGCGACCACAAGCCTAGGGCTGGGAAAGCTCTGCCAAGAGGAACCCTGCTTTCTTTTATAGCACCAGCGCGTGGTGGGAGGACCCAGAGAGAGAGACCCACCAATCAGCCACTCCCAGGAATGAAGCGTCACCCTTTGGGCGACGCCAACTGTAGGGCGGGGCAGGTGTCGCATCTCAAGGAAAGGTTCTCCTCAACGTGGCTGCGATGCCTGGGGCGCTTGACCGGCGCCTCTTGGGCCGGCTCCTCTGACCTGGGACCCGTGAAACGAGTGCTGGGGGGTCTTATTTTATTTTAGGTTATTTTTTTATTTTTTTATTTGTTCATTTATTTTTCTTCTCATTTCTGTGCTCATTTCTCTTCATTCATTGCAATTGATTCTATCTCTCGACAATGAACCCTGTCAAACATCGGTCCCATTCGCATTCGAAGGGAGGGGGCGCGGTGTGCGGGAGGGGGGAGGGGAGAGGCGGGAGGGGTGGACCGCAGACGCAAACACACCCAACATAGTGGCCCTTGGAGGTCATGGGAGGCAGAGGCTGAGGTGGATGTGAATAAAATGTGTACGGCTTTGTATTTTTAGCTTTTTGGCCCAGGCCCTTGCCCCAATCAACCCGACCTCTGCCAGCCGCCGCCCTGTCTTTCCTCAGTCCCACGTTCTTGCTGCTCTTGCTGCTCCCGGATCATCTCTTTTTCAATCTCCTGGACAACACGGGAGAGCTCTATGAAGTTGCGGAAGATCTCGCCATCTGGCAGGTGGATGCGGCGCATGAGGTGGATCTCTACCTTAGAGTTCATGCACTGTCTGGTGATGTGGGTGACCGTGGCATACTTCCCGCTCTTTGGTCTCCAGTCACTTGGCAGTCGCCATTTTGTTTTTTAAATAAGTTTCATTGATTTTTCAACAGAGTGGAAGGGAGAGGGATAGAGATTTAGAAACCTCAAAGATAGAGAAACCTCAGTAAGCTGCCTCCCACACACCTCCTATGGGGGATGTGTCCACAACCCAGGTATATGCCCTTGACCGGAATCCAACCTCGGACCCTTTAGTCCGCAGGCCGATGCTCTGTCCACTGAGCAAAGCCAGTTAGGTTGGCAGCCGCCATTTTGAAACAGCAAAGGCCAATCCCTCTCTTCTATCCTCTCCCCCGGGCCCCAGACCCGGCATTTTAACTTCCCCGTTTGGATAGCACAAAATACAAGTGCAAAGCATTGTACAAGTATACTTTTTACTACACAAAGGTGGATTAATACCTTTGTGTTGTTGTTGGTGTTTGTGTGTGTGTGTGTGTGTGTGTGTGTGTTTTGGCGTGTGTGTGTGTGTGTGTGTGTGTGTGCCCGAACGCGCGTGCGAGTCTGTGTGTGTAAATCCGCAGTCACGCATGGACACTTCTTGTTCTGAATGGTCCTTCGGCATCCATGAGCACCCTTCAGCCCCTGCCTTGTCGCAGACAGCGTCCCCTGCTTGTCCTTCCCCCCTCTTGTCCAGCCAGAATTGGGGAAGTCCAGTCACATGGCTCTGCCCTCCCTAGAGGAGGCTGCAGGACGGGGGCTTAAATTGGCGCTTCTTGACCAGCAGAGGGCAGGGCTGGCTCTCCGGCCCTGCCTGGGCTGGGCCATCTGGTGGAATTCCAACCACCCTCCCCCCGCCCTCCTCCCAGCCTTACCCCACTCACTCTCAGGATGGTAGGTTAGGCCCCGCTCAGAGACCAAGTCCGGGCCAGGCCACATGGGCTTGCAGAAGGCTCCGCCCCTTGAAAGGCTGGATCAATGTCATTTCTAAGGAGGTTTTCCTGTGGGGTTTTTCTGTTTGTTTCTTTGGTTGGTTTTTTTTTTATTGGTTTATTATTATTATTATTATTTTGTTTTTTTGGGGGGATTTCTCTTTTTTAGGAGGGTTTTTTGTTTTGGTACGTTTTTTTGTTTTTGTGGGTTTTTTTTGATTGTTTGTTTTTTCTTCTGCTTTTATATATGGGATGATGTGGAAGGAGCCAGAATGTTCCATTGTTCACCCAATCTGTTGGCAAACATCTCTATTTTTCCCCTGTCACAGGTTTGTCTCGGCGAGCATCAGGACCTTCATTTCCCTTCGGTACATCATCATGACCTTCCTCATCTTGACCCTCACCCGTTTTTATGTCTTCAGAAGGAGTTGGTGATTCCTTTGCTAGCTTTTATACCATGTGTTCAAGATATTCTGGCAAATTTTGAACTGTTGTTTGTTTGGCTGGAAGCAGTGAGGGCTTCTCCGTGCATACCAGCTATTTAAGGCAGCACTCAAAGGGCTGTTGGCCAGAGCCTTAAGCGCAGAGGGCCCAGGAGCATTCAGGATGCAAGACCCCTGGTTTCCCACTGGCTCCCGGTTGTCCCCAAGCCCCCCGAGGAAGAGGACGCGGCTGTGGTGCCAGCGGCGGCCTCGCACAGTGTTCAGCGCACAAAAGCGGCGGGTCCTGGAGGAATTCTTTGAGGGGAAACCCTATGGGACCTATGAGGAACGCGAGACCCTGGCGGCCAGGCTGAACCTGCGGGAGGCCCAAGTGAGGGTGTGGCTCAAGAACCACAGGGCCAAAGTGCAAAGGTTGCAGAGATCGCGCAAGCAGCAAGGGCCAGGGAGCCCAGGCTGCGCCCCTCAGCCTGCGCCCATGCCCTCGCCTGCAGGCCCTGCTTCCCAGGAGGGCCCTTTGCTCGCTGCCAGCCCTGTGCTGCCCGCCATTCCTGTGCGTCCTGAGGAGCCAGTGTTCCCCGCTGGCCCTGTGTTTCCGGCAGGTCCTGTGTTCCCGCCGAGTCCTGTGCTCCAGGCCGGCTTTGTGCTCCTCGCTGGCCCTGTGCTCCCAGCCAGTCCTGCGCTCCCTGCCGCCTCCATACACCATGGGGCCCTTGGTTTCGGCAGCCTCCCTCCGAACAGACCCTTGCAAGTCTTCCCAGCAGCAGATCCCAGCGCCTCCAGCTACAGCCAGGCCTGCTGCGACCCTGCGAAAGGCATCCAGGGCATCGTCACCTCTGCCACTGCTCCAGCTGCAGCCCCAGCCCCAGTTCCAGCTCCAGCTCCAGCTCCAGGTCCAGCTCCAGCTCCAGCCCCAGTCGCAGATCCAGCTCCAGATCCAGCTCCAGCTTCAGATTCAGCTCCACATCTAGATCAAGCTCCTGCTTCAGCTGCAGCTCCAACTCCAGCTCTAGATCCAGCTCCAACTCCAAGTCCAACTCCAACTGGAGCTCCATCCGCGGCCTCACTCTCGCCGCAGGGCCCGGACAACGCCGGGGATGTCTCATCAGACCCTGATTTCACAGACCTGCTCTCAGCCTACTGCTTCTCAGAGTCTCCCTTCTCCTCCGCTAGGCCCTGGTACGACGTTGTGGGTGACAGCGACGTGGACCTCTTCCAGTTCCTGGATCTCCCAGGGAGTGTGTCCCCACCAAGTCCTGCAGATGCCGCGGGACCAGAGGGGACCAGGGTGTGAGCCCATGCGGGTGAGAGGAGCGCAGGTCAGTGCGTCTCCGCCACCAGTTGCTCGCCTGCAGAGTCGGCCAACCTCTAAGCATCCACCCTGGGGAGGTGGCCTGGGCTCTGCACCCCGCCCCTCTCGCGCCAACACCCTTTGGTGGCCACTGCGCATGCGCGTGGCTGCTGGGAGCCGGTCCATCCTTGCTGCTTGACACAGTCGCTGCAGGAAAGAAACATCTGACCTCGCTGCCCATTCACAGCGCTGGGAGCGCAATAGCTGCTGCTGGTGCGGGACCCACTGGAGAGCTGCTGCCCACAACGGTCACCTCTCCGAGAAAGGTTTTTTCCCCAGGTGGGGATTTTTCCCTGAGGTTAGGGAGGGGATACAACCCCTTAATTAAGTGCCAGGCGGGTAGTTAAGCTACATAATCTTTACTCCCTGGAATGGAGATAAGAAACGCCCTAACCTTTGTAATAGAAATTGACAGGATTAAAATCGGCTGGTATAAATACGGATGTAACAAGACAATAAACATCAGATCCTCGTCAGTTCTTAACCAGAACTCCGACCAGAACTTTGGCTGGAGATCCTGGCTAGAGGTCCTGACTAGGCTGCTGATCAACTGAAGGCTGTCTTGGTATAAATACGGATGTAACAAGACAATAAACATCAGATCCTCGTCAGTTCCTAACCAGAACTCCCCCAGCACGTGGCGGCGGGCCAGGGCTGCTGCGTCAGTGGTCCAGGTTGAGCCCATTAGGGCTGTCTTCGTGTCATTCCTTCTTCGCCGACTCCGTCCACACCTTTGGGGACCCCTGGACCCGCTGGGATTGGAGCCCACAACCTTCCCAAGGACCCAGCCCAGCCTCCACGCTCCTCCTGGCAGTTTGCTCTAGCGCCCGTAGGACTGGGCGAACTTTCGGAGTGTGCACATCTGCGACTCGCGGCTTCCTGGTGCTTTTCCCATCGCATTCCCTGGACTTGGAGGATTCACCCCCTTCTCGCGGCATCATTGAACACCGGGAAGACGCATCACGTCTTGTGGGGGCGGGGGGGCATTTTACTTATTTTTTTATGTATTATGCTGAATGAAATGATTTATTAAATTCCGCTGCATATACTTTTTATCCCGTACTAATAAAACTCTGCACAACATGTCGTGCTTGTGATCGGGTTTCATTTCTGATTATGTCTGATCATGTTTGGCATCATGGTTGTGCCACAAAGCTCAGGTCCCTGAGAGGAGAGTGGAGTCTGATGTTCCTTGAAATGACAGTAGTTTGGGCTCCACCTGTAGGTCCCTGCCTAATGCCTCTCTCACAGTCAAGATCATCCCCACCCTCAGGGGCACTCAAAGCCCTTAGGAATTCATCCTCCAAAGGTGCCCCTCCCTTGTGGACCTTCCGCAACCTCACTGACCCTCTCAGAAATTCTCAGTCCATGCCCACCCCAACCACATCCAAGGAGCCCTCCCTGACCTGGACGACTTCAGACCATGTCCAGAATCCTACCTCTGCCCCCACCATGCCATGAATATGCGAGCTCTCTGCAGCTTCTAGAAGAAGGGTGCCAAGGGCTGATAGGAGTGATGAATTTACTCATAGATCAGCCGTGTCTCCACATTCCTCAGTTCGAGGAAGAAAGAAACCACATGTCAGCCAACAGTGCGGAAAGTCACCTGGACTAGAGGAATGCCTTAGTAGACACAATGGCATGCACACCGCAGTGTGACCCTGGGATGCCCTTCAGGAGTGTTTTCCACCTCAGAGGGCAGAACATGACGCACCCTAGAGAGAAACCATGTGAATGTCATGGAAGAGGGAAAGGCTTTCTGCAACGGCCTGGGCTTAGAAACCACAATGCCATGCACAACCGAGAGAAGCCTTATGAGTGCAGTGAGTGTGGGAAAGCCTGCAGTCAGACTTCTTTCCTTAGACAGCATGAGGCCATCCACACAGGAGAGTAACCACATGAATGTCCCCTCTGTGACAAAGATCTCAATCAAAGATCTTACCCCAGAAGAGCAGGATTGAGTCCATCCGGGCAAGCCGTGCTATGAATGTCACTAGTCAAAGCTCTGGCCTGAACCAGCACGGGAGAATGCACACGGGGCAGAAACCACATGTATGTCCCATGTGTGGGAAGGCTTTCCGTCAAAAGTCTGAGCTGACGACACGTTACCACATAACACACACCAGAGAGAATCCATGTGAATGCGGTCAGTGTGGGAACGCCAACATGCGAATCTCATCAGACACCAGAGTTCCTACACGAGAGGAGAGCCCGTGGCATGTCAGCTATGTGGAAAATCCTCCAGTCATAGTCCTCCCCTTAGAAAACATGACGGAACTCAACAAAGGAGAGGGAATCATGGAAGACCAACGCTGTTTTACACATTATTCACTCGAGTGAAATGATACAGGGTAAAATCAGGTGAAACCTTTTATTCATCAAACAACACTGGTCATGTACGGGACCATTCACAGTGTACAAACCACTGTGTCTCAAAGGCGAGGCATTCGCTGATCACTTATTTCTTACTCAGCCTAAAATATCCCACACCAAGGATACAGCAATCCCAAATGGAAACCCACATACTTAGTTGTTACTATATTAGAAAATATGAGGGCATGTGTGCTGTGCTGTGTGTGTGTGTGTGTGTGTGTGTGTGTATGAGCTCGCGAGCGCGCATCTGCCTGTGCAAACACTTGTAAAGAGCCCTTCAACACACAGCTCAGCAAGTAATGAAATGTGTGTGGAAATGAAAGTTGTTTATAGAACTGTGACATCCATTGCGGGAATCTAGGGTGATCTGGCAACTTTGAATGTAGAATTTTGTAAGAAATTCATCTTTCAGGAGAGCAATGCTTGCCCATATTGGAACAAGAAAATCTCGTGCGAAAGAAGCAAAGTGTTGGTGTGTTGGTTTTCCTTGTGCGGTTTTGAACACATACACTCAGGTTCACACAGCCCTTTCCCCAATGGCTGCTTGGAAACATGGCAGCTCCCTCCGTCTATGGTTTCTTCAACACGATCTGCTAAAGACACAGCCAAGATCTTCTGCCTCAGGTGATAGACGCCTCTGTAGGACACGACCCTGCTCAGGCAAGTTCATTCGGGCATAACAAGGGCTCTCACGGAAAAATCTTGGTGGGATGTCATTCTCTGGCTCTGCTAAGTGCGGCCAGCAGACAGAGTTCTAGACGCACTTTTTTTTTTTTTTTTGGTTCGTTACACACCTGTTTTTCTTTTAAACATCATGGAGCAGGGGGCCTCCAGTCCCAATTTACAAACCAAGGAATCGGTTGGGTTATCCATTGTGGACATCAGGGCCGTCAACTGTCGTGGAGACCAACGTGCTCCCAGGAAGCAGAAATCATGTCCAGTAAGGGGAGACGCCAGCCTGACATGGGAAGAGGCAGTTCAGATGGCGAGCTGAATGTAGCAAGGAGACCTCACAGTGTAGTTTCCTTTGGCATTCTATCACGCAGGTCATCGTCTCTCACGTGGATGCTAATAAAAGCCCCTCTCGGAAGCAGCACTCTACCGAGTCCTCTTGAGGGCAGGGCCACGGCTGTCTGGCTACCTATGTCTGCCAGGCCCTAGGACAGGCGCAGGCAGCTGCTTGGTCCAAGGACTACAAATGATTGCGCCTCCCCGAGGGCCCCGCCCACCCCACCCCACCCCTACGCACCTGCGCGCGAAAAAGCAGGCACGCATGCACCCAGGCATGCACGCACACACACACCTGCACAAGGGGCGGGGCCTGAGGGCAGCGCTGCCTCGAGCCCCATTGGTTGGGACCGCTGGGTGGCGAGTCCGTACCAGGTATATAAGGCGGCACTCGCAGGGCGGTTGCCAGAGCTCCAAGCGCAGAGGGCCCAGGAGCATCCAGGATGCAAGACGCCAGTTTTCACACCGGCTCCCGGTTGTCCCCAAGCCCCCCGACGAAGAGGACGCGGCTGAGCCTCCTGCGGCGGCCTCGCACGGTGTTCAGCGCACAACAGCTGCGCGTCCTGGAGGAATTCTTTGAGGGGAAACCCTACGGGACCTATGAGGAACGCGAGACCCTGGCGGCCAGGCTGAACCTGCAGGAGGACCAAGTGAGGGTGTGGCTCTCGAACCGCAGGACCAAAGAGCAAAGGTTGCAGCGACTGCGCAAGCAGCAAGGTCAGGGAGCCCAGGCTGCGCCCCAGGAACTGGCAGCCTGTGCCCCTCAGCCCGCGCCTGTGCCCTCCCCTGCAGGCCGTGCGTCCCAGGAGGGCCCTTTGCTCGCTGCCAGCCCTGTGCTGCCCGCCATTCCTGTGCTCACTGAGGAGCCAGTGTTCCCTGCTGGCACTGTGTTCTCAGCAGGCTCAGTGCTCCCCGCAGGCCCTGGGGTCCCTGCTGGCCCTGGGTTCCGGGCCGGTCCTGTGCTCCCGGCGGGTCCTGTGTTCCCAGCCGGCTCTGTGCTCCCCGAACGCCCTGGGCTCCCCGCTGGCCCTGGGTTCCGGGCCGGTCCTATGCTCCCGGCAGGTCCTGTGTTCCCAGCCGGCTCTGTGCTCCCCGCAGGCCCTGGGCTCCCCATTGGCCCTGTGTTCCGGCTGGTCCTGTGCTCCCGGCGGGTCCTGTGTTCCCAGCCAGCTCTGAGCTCCCCACAGCCCCTGGGCTCCCCGCTGGCCCTGTGTTCCGGGCCGGTCCTGTGGTCCCAGCGGGTCCTGTGTTCCCAGCCGGCTCTGTGCTCCCCGCAGGCCCTGGGCTCCCCGCTGGCCCTGTGTTCCCCGCCAGTTCTGTGCTCCCGCCGGGTCCTGTGTTCCCAGCCGGCTCTGTGCTCCTCAGTGGCCCTGTGCTCTCCACCACACCTGTGCTCCCTGCCGCCCCCATACACCACAGGGGCCTTGGTTTCAGCAGCCTCCCTCCACACAGACCCTTGCAAGTCTTCCCAGCAGGAGATCCAAGCGCCCCCAGCTACAGCCAGGCCTGCTGCGACCCTGCCCATGGCGTCCAGGGCACGGTCACCGCTGCACCTGCTCCAGCTCAAACTCCAGCTCCAGCCCCAGATCCCGATCGAGCTCCAAATCAAGCTCCAGCTCCAGCCCCAGATCCATATCCAGATCGAGCTCCAGCTCCAGCCCCAGATCCAGATCGAGCCCCAACCCCAGATCCAGCTCCAGATCTAGATCCAGCTCCTTCTTCACCTCCAGCTCCAACTCGAGCTCTAGATCTAGCTCCAAGTCCAACGCCAACTCCAACTCCAACTGGAGCTCCATCCGAGGACACACTCTCGCCTCAGGGCCACGACAACGCCGGGGATTTCTCTTCAAACCCTGATTTCACAGACCTGCTCTCAGCCTATTGCTTCTTGGAGGAGCCCTTCTCCTCCCCCAGGCCCTGTTACGACTTTGTGGGTGACAGCGACGTGGACCTCTTCCAGTAACTAGATCTCCCATGGAGTGTATCCCCGCCAAGTCCTGCAGATGCCGCGGGACCAGAGGGGACCAGGGTGTGCGCCCACGCGGGTGGGAGGAGCGCAGGTCAGTGCGTCTCCGCCACCAGTTGCTCGCCTGCAGAGTCGGCCAACCTCTAAGCATCCACCCTGGGGAGGTGGCCTGGGCTCTGCACCCCGCCCCTCTCGCGCCAACACCCTTTGGTGGCCACTGCGCATGCGCGTGGCGGCGGGCCAGGGCTGCTGCGTCAGTGGTCCAGGTTGAGCCCATTAGGGCACACGTGACCTCGCTGCCCATTCACAGCGCTGGGAGCGCAATAGCTGCTGCTGGTGCGGGACCCACTGGAGAGCTGCTGCCCACAACCTTCCCAAGGACCCAGCCCAGCCTCCACGCTCCTCCTGGCAGTTTGCTCTAGCGCCCGTAGGACTGGGCGAACTTTCGGAGTGTGCACATCTGCGACTCGCGGCTTCCTGGTGCTTTTCCCATCGCATTCCCTGGACTTGGAGGATTCACCCCCTTCTCGCGGCATCATTGAACACCGGGAAGACGCATCACGTCTTGTGGGGGCGGGGGGGCATTTTACTTATTTTTTTATGTATTATGCCGAATGAAATGATTTATTAAATTCCGCTGCATATACTTTTTATCCCGTACTAATAAAACTCTGCACAACATGTCGTGCTTGTGATCGGGTTTCATTTCTGATTATGTCTGATCATGTTTGGCATCATGGTTGTGCCACAAAGCTCAGGTCCCTGAGAGGAGAGTGGAGTCTGATGTTCCTTGAAATGACAGTAGTTTGGGCTCCACCTTTAGGTCCCTGCCTAATGCCTCTCTCACAGTCAAGATCATCCCCACCCTCAGGGGCACTCAAAGCCCTTAGGAATTCATCCTCCAAAGGTGCCCCTCCCTTGTGGACCTTCCGCAACCTCACTGACCCTCTCAGAAATTCTCAGTCCATGCCCACCCCAACCACATCCAAGGAGCCCTCCCTGACCTGGACGACTTCAGACCATGTCCAGAATCCTACCTCTGCCCCCACCATGCCGTGAATATGCGAGCTCTCTGCAGCTTCTAGAAGAAGGGTGCCAAGGGCTGATAGGAGTGATGAATTTACTCATAGATCAGCCGTGTCTCCACATTCCTCAGTTCGAGGAAGAAAGAAACCACATGTCAGCCAACAGTGCGGAAAGTCACCTGGACTAGAGGAATGCCTTAGTAGACACAATGGCATGCACACCGCAGTGTGACCCTGGGATGCCCTTCAGGAGTGTTTTCCACCTCAGAGGGCAGAACATGACGCACCCTAGAGAGAAACCATGTGAATGTCATGGAAGAGGGAAAGGCTTTCTGCAACGGCCTGGGCTTAGAAACCACAATGCCATGCACAACCGAGAGAAGCCTTATGAGTGCAGTGAGTGTGGGAAAGCCTGCAGTCAGACTTCTTTCCTTAGACAGCATGAGGCCATCCACACAGGAGAGTAACCACATGAATGTCCCCTCTGTGACAAAGCTCTCAATCAAAGATCTTACCCCAGAAGAGCAGGATTGAGTCCATCCGGGCAAGCCGTGCTATGAATGTCACTAGTCAAAGCTCTGGCCTGAACCAGCACGGGAGAATGCACACGGGGCAGAAACCACATGTATGTCCCATGTGTGGGAAGGCTTTCCGTCAAAAGTCTGAGCTGACGACACGTTACCACATAACACACACCAGAGAGAATCCATGTGAATGAGGTCAGTGTGGGAACGCCAACATGCGAATCTCATCAGACACCAGAGTTCCTACACGAGAGGAGAGCCCGTGGCATGTCAGCTATGTGGAAAATCCTCCAGTCATAGTCCTCCCCTTAGAAAACATGACGGAACTCAACAAAGGAGAGGGAATCATGGAAGACCAACGCTGTTTTACACATTATTCACTCGAGTGAAATGATACAGGGTAAAATCAGGTGAAACCTTTTATTCATCAAACAACACTGGTCATGTACGGGACCATTCACAGTGTACAAACCACTGTGTCTCAAAGGCGAGGCATTCGCTGATCACTTATTTCTTACTCAGCCTAAAATATCCCACACCAAGGATACAGCAATCCCAAATGGAAACCCACATACTTAGTTGTTACTATATTAGAAAATATGAGGGCATGTGTGCTGTGCTGTGTGTGTGTGTGTGTGTGTGTGTGTGTATGAGCTCGCGAGCGCGCATCTGCCTGTGCAAACACTTGTAAAGAGCCCTTCAACACACAGCTCAGCAAGTAATGAAATGTCTGTGGAAATGAAAGTTGTTTATAGAACTGTGACATCCATTGCGGGAATCTAGGGTGATCTGGCAACTTTGAATGTAGAATTTTGTAAGAAATTCATCTTTCAGGAGAGCAATGCTTGCCCATATTGGAACAAGAAAATCTCGTGCGAAAGAAGCAAAGTGTTGGTGTGTTGGTTTTCCTTGTGCGGTTTTGAACACATACACTCAGGTTCACACAGCCCTTTCCCCAATGGCTGCTTGGAAACATGGCAGCTCCCTCCGTCTATGGTTTCTTCAACACGATCTGCTAAAGACACAGCCAAGATCTTCTGCCTCAGGTGATAGACGCCTCTGTAGGACACGACCCTGCTCAGGCAAGTTCATTCGGGCATAACAAGGGCTCTCACGGAAAAATCTTGGTGGCATGTCATTCTCTGGCTCTGCTAAGTGCGGCCAGCAGACAGAGTTCTAGACGCACTTTTTTTTTTTTTTTTTTGGTTCGTTACACACCTGTTTTTCTTTTAAACATCATGGAGCAGGGGGCCTCCAGTCCCAATATACAAACCAAGGAATCGGTTGGGTTATCCATTGTGGACATCAGGGCCGTCAACTGTCGTGGAGACCAACGTGCTCCCAGGAAGCAGAAATCATGTCCAGTAAGGGGAGACGCCAGCCTGACATGGGAAGAGGCAGTTCAGATGGCGAGCTGAATGTAGCAAGGAGACCTCACAGTGTAGTTTCCTTTGGCATTCTATCACGCAGGTCATCGTCTCTCACGTGGATGCTAATAAAAGCCCCTCTCGGAAGCAGCACTCTACCGAGTCCTCTTGAGGGCAGGGCCACGGCTGTCTGGCCACCTATGTCTGCCAGGCCCTAGGACAGGCGCAGGCAGCTGCTTGGTCCAAGGACTACAAATGATTGCGCCTCCCCGAGGGCCCCGCCCACCCCACCCCACCCCTACGCACCTGCGCGCGAAAAAGCAGGCACGCATGCACCCAGGCATGCACGCACACACACACCTGCACAAGGGGCGGGGCCTGAGGGCAGCGCTGCCTCGAGCCCCATTGGTTGGGACCGCTGGGTGGCGAGTCCGTACCAGGTATATAAGGCGGCACTCGCAGGGCGGTTGCCAGAGCTCCAAGCGCAGAGGGCCCAGGAGCATCCAGGATGCAAGACGCCAGTTTTCACACCGGCTCCCGGTTGTCCCCAAGCCCCCCGACGAAGAGGACGCGGCTGAGCCTCCTGCGGCGGCCTCGCACGGTGTTCAGCGCACAACAGCTGCGCGTCCTGGAGGAATTCTTTGAGGGGAAACCCTACGGGACCTATGAGGAACGCGAGACCCTGGCGGCCAGGCTGAACCTGCAGGAGGACCAAGTGAGGGTGTGGCTCTCGAACCGCAGGACCAAAGAGCAAAGGTTGCAGCGACTGCGCAAGCAGCAAGGTCAGGGAGCCCAGGCTGCGCCCCAGGAACTGGCAGCCTGTGCCCCTCAGCCCGCGCCTGTGCCCTCCCCTGCAGGCCGTGCGTCCCAGGAGGGCCCTTTGCTCGCTGCCAGCCCTGTGCTGCCCGCCATTCCTGTGCTCACTGAGGAGCCAGTGTTCCCTGCTGGCACTGTGTTCTCAGCAGGCTCAGTGCTCCCCGCAGGCCCTGGGGTCCCTGCTGGCCCTGGGTTCCGGGCCGGTCCTGTGCTCCCGGCGGGTCCTGTGTTCCCAGCCGGCTCTGTGCTCCCCGAAGCCCTGGGCTCCCCGCTGGCCCTGGGTTCCGGGCTGGTCCTGTGCTCCCGGCGGGTCCTGTGTTCCCAGCCGGCTCTGTGCTCCCCGCAGGCCCTGGGCTCCCCATTGGCCCTGTGTTCCGGCTGGTCCTGTGCTCCCGGCGGGTCCTGTGTTCCCAGCCAGCTCTGAGCTCCCCACAGCCCCTGGGCTCCCCGCTGGCCCTGTGTTCCGGGCCGGTCCTGTGCTCCCAGCGGGTCCTGTGTTCCCAGCCGGCTCTGTGCTCCCCGCAGGCCCTGGGCTCCCGCTGGCCCTGTGTTCCGGGCTGGTCCTGTGCTCCCGGCGGGTCCTGTGTTCCCAGCTGGCTCTGTGAACCCCGCAGGCCCTGGGCTCCCCGCTGGCCCTGTGTTCCCCGCCAGTTCTGTGCTCCCGCCGGGTCCTGTGTTCCCAGCCGGCTCTGTGCTCCTCGGTGGCCCTGTGCTCTCCACTACACCTGTGCTCCCTGCCGCCCCCATACACCACAGGGGCCTTGGTTTCAGCAGCCTCCCTCCACACAGACCCTTGCAAGTCTTCCCAGCAGGAGATCCAAGCGCCCCCAGCTACAGCCAGGCCTGCTGCGACCCTGCCCATGGCGTCCAGGGCACGGTCACCGCTGCACCTGCTCCAGCTCAAACTCCAGCTCCAGCCCCAGATCCCGATCGAGCTCCAAATCAAGCTCCAGCTCCAGCTCCAGCTCCAGCTCCAGCCCCAGATTCCAACACCAGCTCCAGCTCCAGCTCAGATCGAGCCCCAACCCCAGATCCAGCTCCAGATCTAGATCCAGCTCCAGATCCAGCTCCAAGTCCAACGCCAACTCCAACTCCAACCAACTCCAACTGGAGCTCCATCAGGACACACTCTCGCCTCAGGGCCACGACAACGCCGGGGATTTCTCTTCAAACCCTGATTTCACAGACCTGCTCTCAGCCTATTGCTTCTTGGAGGAGCCCTTCTCCTCCCCCAGGCCCTGTTACGACTTTGTGGGTGACAGCGACGTGGACCTCTTCCAGTAACTAGATCTCCCATGGAGTGTATCCCCGCCAAGTCCTGCAGATGCCGCGGGACCAGAGGGGACCAGGGTGTGCGCCCACGCGGGCGGGAGGAGCGCAGGTCAGTGCGTCTCCGCCACCAGTTGCTCGCCTGCAGAGTCGGCCAACCTCTAAGCATCCACCCTGGGGAGGTGGCCTGGGCTCTGCACCCCGCCCCTCTCGCGCCAACACCCTTTGGTGGCCACTGCGCATGCGCGTGGCGGCGGGCCAGGGCTGCTGCGTCAGTGGTCCAGGTTGAGCCCATTAGGGCACACGTGACCTCGCTGCCCATTCACAGCGCTGGGAGCGCAATAGCTGCTGCTGGTGCGGGACCCACTGGAGAGCTGCTGCCCACAACCTTCCCAAGGACCCAGCCCAGCCTCCACGCTCCTCCTGGCAGTTTGCTCTAGCGCCCGTAGGACTGGGCGAACTTTCGGAGTGTGCACATCTGCGACTCGCGGCTTCCTGGTGCTTTTCCCATCGCATTCCCTGGACTTGGAGGATTCACCCCCTTCTCGCGGCATCATTGAACACCGGGAAGACGCATCACGTCTTGTGGGGGCGGGGGGGCATTTTACTTATTTTTTTATGTATTATGCCGAATGAAATGATTTATTAAATTCCGCTGCATATACTTTTTATCCCGTACTAATAAAACTCTGCACAACATGTCGTGCTTGTGATCGGGTTTCATTTCTGATTATGTCTGATCATGTTTGGCATCATGGTTGTGCCACAAAGCTCAGGTCCCTGAGAGGAGAGTGGAGTCTGATGTTCCTTGAAATGACAGTAGTTTGGGCTCCACCTGTAGGTCCCTGCCTAATGCCTCTCTCACAGTCAAGATCATCCCCACCCTCAGGGGCACTCAAAGCCCTTAGGAATTCATCCTCCAAAGGTGCCCCTCCCTTGTGGACCTTCCGCAACCTCACTGACCCTCTCAGAAATTCTCAGTCCATGCCCACCCCAACCACATCCAAGGAGCCCTCCCTGACCTGGACGACTTCAGACCATGTCCAGAATCCTACCTCTGCCCCCACCATGCCGTGAATATGCGAGCTCTCTGCAGCTTCTAGAAGAAGGGTGCCAAGGGCTGATAGGAGTGATGAATTTACTCATAGATCAGCCGTGTCTCCACATTCCTCAGTTCGAGGAAGAAAGAAACCACATGTCAGCCAACATTGCGGAAAGTCACCTGGACTAGAGGAATGCCTTAGTAGACACAATGGCATGCACACCGCAGTGTGACCCTGGGATGCCCTTCAGGAGTGTTTTCCACCTCAGAGGGCAGAACATGACGCACCCTAGAGAGAAACCATGTGAATGTCATGGAAGAGGGAAAGGCTTTCTGCAACGGCCTGGGCTTAGAAACCACAATGCCATGCACAACCGAGAGAAGCCTTATGAGTGCAGTGAGTGTGGGAAAGCCTGCAGTCAGACTTCTTTCCTTAGACAGCATGAGGCCATCCACACAGGAGAGTAACCACATGAATGTCCCCTCTGTGACAAAGCTCTCAATCAAAGATCTTACCCCAGAAGAGCAGGATTGAGTCCATCCGGGCAAGCCGTGCTATGAATGTCACTAGTCAAAGCTCTGGCCTGAACCAGCACGGGAGAATGCACACGGGGCAGAAACCACATGTATGTCCCATGTGTGGGAAGGCTTTCCGTCAAAAGTCTGAGCTGACGACACGTTACCACATAACACACACCAGAGAGAATCCATGTGAATGCGGTCAGTGTGGGAACGCCAACATGCGAATCTCATCAGACACCAGAGTTCCTACACGAGAGGAGAGCCCGTGGCATGTCAGCTATGTGGAAAATCCTCCAGTCATAGTCCTCCCCTTAGAAAACATGACGGAACTCAACAAAGGAGAGGGAATCATGGAAGACCAACGCTGTTTTACACATTATTCACTCGAGTGAAATGATACAGGGTAAAATCAGGTGAAACCTTTTATTCATCAAACAACACTGGTCATGTACGGGACCATTCACAGTGTACAAACCACTGTGTCTCAAAGGCGAGGCATTCGCTGATCACTTATTTCTTACTCAGCCTAAAATATCCCACACCAAGGATACAGCAATCCCAAATGGAAACCCACATACTTAGTTGTTACTATATTAGAAAATATGAGGGCATGTGTGCTGTGCTGTGTGTGTGTGTGTGTGTGTGTGTGTATGAGCTCGCGAGCGCGCATCTGCCTGTGCAAACACTGTAAAGAGCCCTTCAACACACAGCTCAGCAAGTAATGAAATGTCTGTGGAAATGAAAGTTGTTTATAGAACTGTGACATCCATTGCGGGAATCTAGGGTGATCTGGCAACTTTGAATGTAGAATTTTGTAAGAAATTCATCTTTCAGGAGAGCAATGCTTGCCCATATTGGAACAAGAAAATCTCGTGCGAAAGAACCAAAGTGTTGGTGTGTTGGTTTTCCTTGTGCGGTTTTGAACACATACACTCAGGTTCACACAGCCCTTTCCCCAATGGCTGCTTGGAAACATGGCAGCTCCCTCCGTCTATGGTTTCTTCAACACGATCTGCTAAAGACACAGCCAAGATCTTCTGCCTCAGGTGATAGACGCCTCTGTAGGACACGACCCTGCTCAGGCAAGTTCATTCGGGCATAACAAGGGCTCTCACGGAAAAATCTTGGTGGGATGTCATTCTCTGGCTCTGCTAAGTGCGGCCAGCAGACAGAGTTCTAGACGCACTTTTTTTTTTTTTTTTTTGGTTCGTTACACACCTGTTTTTCTTTTAAACATCATGGAGCAGGGGGCCTCCAGTCCCAATTTACAAACCAAGGAATCGGTTGGGTTATCCATTGTGGACATCAGGGCCGTCAACTGTCGTGGAGACCAACGTGCTCCCAGGAAGCAGAAATCATGTCCAGTAAGGGGAGACGCCAGCCTGACATTGGAAGAGGCAGTTCAGATGGCGAGCTGAATGTAGCAAGGAGACCTCACAGTGTAGTTTCCTTTGGCATTCTATCACGCAGGTCATCGTCTCTCACGTGGATGCTAATAAAAGCCCCTCTCGGAAGCAGCACTCTACCGAGTCCTCTTGAGGGCAGGGCCACGGCTGTCTGGCCACCTATGTCTGCCAGGCCCTAGGACAGGCGCAGGCAGCTGCTTGGTCCAAGGACTACAAATGATTGCGCCTCCCCGAGGGCCCCGCCCACCCCACCCCACCCCTACGCACCTGCGCGCGAAAAAGCAGGCACGCATGCACCCAGGCATGCACGCACACACACACCTGCACAAGGGGCGGGGCCTGAGGGCAGCGCTGCCTCGAGCCCCATTGGTTGGGACCGCTGGGTGGCGAGTCCGTACCAGGTATATAAGGCGGCACTCGCAGGGCGGTTGCCAGAGCTCCAAGCGCAGAGGGCCCAGGAGCATCCAGGATGCAAGACGCCAGTTTTCACACCGGCTCCCGGTTGTCCCCAAGCCCCCCGACGAAGAGGACGCGGCTGAGCCTCCTGCGGCGGCCTCGCACGGTGTTCAGCGCACAACAGCTGCGCGTCCTGGAGGAATTCTTTGAGGGGAAACCCTACGGGACCTATGAGGAACGCGAGACCCTGGCGGCCAGGCTGAACCTGCAGGAGGACCAAGTGAGGGTGTGGCTCTCGAACCGCAGGACCAAAGAGCAAAGGTTGCAGCGACTGCGCAAGCAGCAAGGTCAGGGAGCCCAGGCTGCGCCCCAGGAACTGGCAGCCTGTGCCCCTCAGCCCGCGCCTGTGCCCTCCCCTGCAGGCCGTGCGTCCCAGGAGGGCCCTTTGCTCGCTGCCAGCCCTGTGCTGCCCGCCATTCCTGTGCTCACTGAGGAGCCAGTGTTCCCTGCTGGCACTGTGTTCTCAGCAGGCTCAGTGCTCCCCGCAGGCCCTGGGGTCCCTGCTGGCCCTGGGTTCCGGGCCGGTCCTGTGCTCCCGGCGGGTCCTGTGTTCCCAGCCGGCTCTGTGCTCCCCGAACGCCCTGGGCTCCCCGCTGGCCCTGGGTTCCGGGCCGGTCCTATGCTCCCGGCAGGTCCTGTGTTCCCAGCCAGCTCTGTGCTCCCCGCAGGCCCTGGGCTCCCCATTGGCCCTGTGTTCCGGGCTGGTCCTGTGCTCCCGGCGGGTCCTGTGTTCCCAGCCAGCTCTGAGCTCCCCACAGCCCCTGGGCTCCCCGCTGGCCCTGTGTTCCGGGCCGGTCCTGTGCTCCCAGCGGGTCCTGTGTTCCCAGCCGGCTCTGTGCTCCCCGCAGGCCCTGGGCTCCACGCTGGCCCTGTGTTCCGGGCTGGTCCTGTGCTCCCGGCGGGTCCTGTGTTCCCAGCTGGCTCTGTGAACCCCGCAGGCCCCTGGGCTACCCGCTAGACCCTGTGTTCCGGGCTGATACTGGTCTCTCGGACAGGACTGTATTTACACAACCGGCTTTAGAAACCCCCGAGCCCTAGTTACCCCGCTGGCTTGTTTTCCCCCCCCAGTTTTTACACCCAGCGGGGCCTGTGTTCTCAGCCG